TTTGCAAAAAAACAAAATATTATTTGTATTTGTTTGTTTTTCTTTTGTTCTATAGTTAACACTATTATTTATGGTAATATTTGTATTTTTGTTGTTGTTGTATTGTTTTGTTGAACATTTTGTTGCATTTTCAAAGTTATGACTTTTGTAGTTTTGTGAAATTTGTTTGTTTCTGTTTTGTTTTCTTTCAAGGGGAAGTGGAAGGAATTGGAGAGATTAACACGTGAAAGAGGAGAAATATTCACCAAGCAAATGCCTCAATTCACGTTTACATTATTATCATTAATGGGTTTTAAATCAGAATACAATTGCATAATGTAAACATGGTGTCAGCTTTGTGGTTTTCACTCACGTGTTAATTTATCGAAACTTAATAGTTCTTTTTTTTGGTTAAACATTTCAAAATAACAAACTAAATTGCATTACAAAAAACAATATCTATTTTCATAATTTCTTTTTCTAAGCAGCAAAGTATGTATTTTTGATGTTGTTGTTGTATTTGTTTTATTTTAGTTATTTGTTAAGAGGTATTTTTTATTAATATTTTTGCACTCTTTGTTGTTGTTGTTTTTTTAAATCCAAGTTTAATTATATTCGAGTTAATGCATTAGTTTTCAAAATAGAAAATGGATTTGTTTATATGGAGTCAATGATGTTTTGTTACACTAAACTATTTTCTTTTTAAATTTAATATTAAACTTAAAAATTAAAATGAATTTTTGTTATGTTTTTTTTTACTGAATTTGTCTTGAAATGAAATTTCTAATTATTATAATTTTTGTTTTCGTAACTTATAATCTTAAAAATTACATAAAGCATTAGAAGCCTTATAAGATACATATATTATGTATGTGTGTTTTTATTTTAAAATTATTATTGCAATTTAAATTAAGGTAGAAAAAATGGAGGGAAATTAAAAAAAATGGTAATACAGAAGAAGAAAAGAAAATTGTCTCATTTTATTAGCACGATAATTTATATTTTGAAATAATTTTATTTATATTAAGAATTTGAAGTTTGAGGTCAATATGTTGAATAACAGCTGATACGTTAAACAGCTGATTTAATTTCTGGCTTTACTTTTGACAATACAATTTCAAATAACAGCTGATGCTTTAAACAGCTGATATTCTGGCATTTCATAACATAGGGCATTTATTTTTTCCTGTTCCAGAACCCACTTTTATTCAAGGCCTGGAATTTGTCAAATTGTTTCCATCGTGAGTGAAAAGATTTGTCAGATTTTGCTTTTGTAGAAGCAAACCAATACATCACAGAAAAATGAATCATCTTGAAAGCAAATTTACCATGTGGCCAGGTAGCTTTATCTTATAAACAAGGTTGTGTATATAGGGATCTATAAATTGAAATTTTCACAGCATTAGCTTGAAAGTCCATCACACAAATTTTAGGGACTAAAATGGAATTTACATTAGAACCTTTTGCCGATTTTTACTCTTCTTCCAAAAAGTATAAAATTACCGGCAATTTGTTTAGAAAACATATCAAAAATGTCGAAATTTCAAGATACCGTTATATGGGAGCTATATCAAAACGTGGACCGATATTGATAATTTTTGGTAGTAAGATTATGTACCCAATGAGAATACAAAGTACTAAATTACAGGCAATCTGGTTGAAAAATGTTCTCAAACTGCCTGAAATCCCGAAATTTGAGGGGTACCGTTCTATGGTGGCTATAGGAAAATGTGAACAGATATAGTTTATTTTTGGAAGGAAGAATTGCCAACTAATGAGAATCCAAAATACTAAATTACAGGCAATTTGGTTCCGACATTTGTGTAGTACCCTTATATGGGAGCTATAGCAAAACGTGGATCGATATTAATAATTTTTAGTGGAGAGAAATTTTCTAACCACTGAGAACCCGAAATGTAAAATTATAGGCAATCTGTTTGAAAAATGTATCCACACTCCTCAAAATACCTTTATGTAGGGGTCTACCCTGAAACTTTGACCAATATTGATAATTTCGTACCCACTGAGAACCCAAAATATAAAATTACAGCCAATTTGGTTGAAAAATGTAACCAAAATCCGAAAATTTGGATCTACTGTTATAGGGGGACCAACCTTAAAATATGAACCGATCTTAATAATTGGTGGTATGAATGTGTTCTTCCAAATGATTTTTTTTTTAAATGACTGCAAATTTGGTTGAAAATGATTGTCCGAAACCCCCTAAAATTCCGAATATTGGGATTTCTGGGTATATGGGGACTATATCAAAACGTGGATTGATATATCTAATTTTCAATACCAATCACCCTATGAGTAGTAGCAATGTATGTGACAAATTTTCAAAACTCTATTTTAAATATTGCCAGATCTATCGTGTTTTCACAACAGAAGGACTGGTAGACAACGAACGAGACTAAATGGACATCGAATTTTATGTAGATAAAAATTATATGTACTTTGGAGGGGCCTCTGGTGAATATTTCGAAGTATTGCAAACGAAATGACAAATTTAATGCCTGTTGCCGAACCTGCAAGAATGTAAAAAACCGCTATACCAAAACATGGACCGATATTGATAATTTTTGGTAGAGAGATTTGTCACCCAATAAGAACTTAAAATATAAAATTAGAGAGACTTCGGTAGAAAAGTGCCGCTGAAACCATCAACATATTGGAAATGGGGCAGTATCGTTCAATTTTGGGGCTAGACCCCATATAAGTCTACCCTCAAAATTGAACCAATATTTAAAATTTTTTGTAGGAAGATTTTCTACTCAACTAGAACCCCCGAATATAAAATTACAGCCAACAAAGTTAAAAAAACATGTCTGAATCTCTAAAAAATCTAAAATTAGGTGGTACCCATGTATGAAAGCTATAACTAATCATGGGCCTGTATTGATAATTTTTGGTAAAATGATTTTCCATCCAAAGTGTACTCAAAATATCAAATTACAGCCAATTGGATTGAAAAACGTACTCAAAATTCTGAAAATTTCGAATAATGAGGGTACTCTTATATATGGGAGCTATATCAAAACGTGCATCGATATAGATAACTTTCGGTGGAAAGATTTTCCACTCAATGAAAATCCAAAATATCAAATTACAGCCAATTCGATTGATATTTTTTTAGGTTCTATAACTCGACCTACCATAATCCCGTAAAAAAAACGTTGACTTTCCGAGTTATGGAATGGAGAGAAATTCGACTGTGTATCCGACAATAATATACATGTTACGATGTCTCCGTTGAATGTCACCGTTGTGATGTCCATAAAAAAAAATATTTATAAAAATATTTTACTATACAATAATACATTTTCGATTATTTTTATGCAGATCATTTTGTATTAAGAAAAATAGACATAAAAAAATTAATTCAAAATATAATTATGTCTTGGTAATTTATATCGAATGACTGGAGATTTGACATGTTTTCATAAAATTTTAATTTAAATTCTAAAACATCATTCAATTCAATTCAAGTTATTCAGAAACTACTGTAGAAATTTTTATGAATTTATGGTGCTATTTAAAAAAAGACAATATTTTTTCTCTTAAATTATGTTTAAAAAAATACAACTACTTTACTAAAATTTAGTTTATGTGATATAAAAGATATATGTCTTGTAAAATTTTTATAATAATTATTAGAAATATAAATGATATTTTTTATAAATGAAAAAAAAAAACAAACAAGAATGGATATAAAATATAAAATAATAATTTGTAAATTGAAATAAATTGCACATGAAACTATTAGTTATGAGTTTATTATACAAAAAATAAGACAACACATCTGTTTTGTTTATATTCAGCAGTTTTTCGAAAAAAAAAAATCTATTAATTTTTGTAATATTTTTTTTTTAGCCAGCAAAGATCACAGTTATCAAAAATTAGGGAGAAAATGAAAAAAATATATATTTTTATGACTTATTTTTTTTATATATATATCTGACTCATCACATGTAAGACATGAAAAACGCACACAAACACATACAGAAACACATATACAACAATAAAATGTTAACGTTTTTTTGTTGTGGGCTTTTCAGCTGGCAATGTTGGTTGTTTGTTTTTTTGTAATTTGTTGTTGTTTTTTTTTTTATAAAAAAAGATTAATGATTGATTTTTACTTTTGTTTTTTTTTTTTAATACGAAAGACGTTCAAGGATATATGTTTGTTTGTTTGTATGTATGTTAATTCGTATTCAGATTTCGAGATTGATTATTTGTTTTAAAAAAATATTATTGTTTTTTGTTGTGGTAAATATTTGTTGTTCTTGTTGTTGATTTTTTGTACATTTTAATTGCTATCATTTCAGTTAAATGTTTTTTGTTTCACCTTTTTGTTGTTGCCTTAATTCAAAATTTCTTTTTTGTATTTAAATGTTATTCGTTCTCTTTTTTTTAATATAAGCAAATTTTGTGCGTGTTTTATGTAATGTAATTATTTTTATATAAAAAAATATATATTTGTTTTTATGAATAAAAATAAAATTAATTAAAGTATAAGAAAAATACGTTTAAAAATAAATCATATTCCAATCAAATAATGAAATAAAAACAAAAAAATAATATTAAATGAAATAATAAACAACTTTTTTGTTTTTCTTCAATAAATGATCGCTTAGCAGGACATTCGGTAAAATTTTATAAAATTTCCTTTTCAAAAATGTATAACTCTGGATTGTTCCTCATTCTCATTCCCAAACAAAAACGCAATTCCAATACCCCCAAAAACAAAGTGAGGTAAAATAAATGGTTGTTGTTATTTGTTTGCCTTTTAAGGATAAACAAATATTGAATACTACAATGATTCTCCTTCTCTCTCCTTATTATCTTTATTTGAATTAAATAAAAAAATACTTAATATTGCCCCTCTCTCTTCGCACCTATCGTATACTACTTCACATTATTTTTGTTTTCTATTAATTTTTTTAATATTTTTTTTATCCTTAAATGGCTTTTGGGAGAGCGAGAGAGAAACAATCCAAAGAGTTCTACATTTTCAATTTCCAGTTAGAAATTTTATAACAGTTTACCAAAAGTCCTTGTACGAACCTCAGGAACCGTGTAACGTATTATTCTGATTACTGCTGTTGTTGTTGCTGCTGCCGCCATTATTGGCATTATTGCCGCCAGTGGTGCTGACATTTTGTGCCGAGACTTCCGATTTAACACGACGAGCAATGTGTGAGCGTGTATGTTTGCGTAAATGATCTTTGCGATAGAAACCTGAAAAAGGAGAGAACAAATAATTAGTATTTTGCACAATCGTAATAGGGGCGTATATGTAAGGATATACATCATACGCCCAGGGATGTATTGGGGTATTTTCAAGGTATTTCGGGACTTCTAAATATAGGACATTCTGCTCTATATTGGAAAAGAATACATATACTTCTTCACATAGAATAAAATATTATGATTTTAAAGACAAAAATTTAATAAAGAAAACCCTCTCATGGACTTCTATCGATCGGTTCTTTTATATGAGTACTGGCTATGCTATGGAAAATTGCTCTAGAAGAAAAATAGGAAATACCGAACTAAAGACATTCATGTAGGAAATTTTGTAGCTTGAACATATCGAAAATTATACCTGACCTTTAAAGGGGCCCTATGTATGAAACATTTTATAGAAAGCTACCATAAAAAGTGGATCTATATTTAACATTTTCTGTAGATATATTTGAGAACTAATGACAACTCAAAATTTCAAATCAGAGGAAAACGTGCCTAAACTGCTATGAAATCTCTTTACCCAAATTCCCTAAAAATACCGAAATTGAGGAGGTACCGTTGTATGGAGGCTGCATCATCGTGAACTCAAAAATCTAAAAATGTTTTCCAATAGGAAGATTTTTAAACCAATGACAATATTTAAGCCACTTCGATTGGAAAATGCAGCAGATATCTTCAAAATACTCAAAATTGGGCGAGCTAAGACAAAACATGTTCTGATCTTGATCTTGATTTGATAGGAAGATTTTCCACCAAATATAGCAAAAAAATAGGATTACCGTTATATGGAAGCTATACCAAAACGAGTATCGATATTCGTAATTTTTGGTAGGGAGATTTGCCACCTAATGCGAACTAAAAATATCAAATTACAGTGACATCGGTAGAAAAGTTCCGCTGAGACGCTCAAAATATTGAAAATTATGCAGTACCGTTACATGATGGGGTCTACCCTCAAAAGTCAACCGATATTGATCATTAGAACTTAAAATATGAAATTATAGCCGATTCGGTTAGGAAATGCAGTTGAATTCTTTAAAATGCTGAAAATAGGGCTGTACCGATATATGGGAGATATAAAAAAAATTTTGGCAGAGAGATTTCCCACCCAATGAGAACCCAAAATATCTAATAAGATCTATTTTGGTTGACAAATGAACCTAAACTCACCAAAAAGTGAAATTGGGCAGGTACCCGTATATGGGAGCTATAATAAAACATGGACCTATATTGATAATTTTTCATAGGATGATTTTCCATTCAAAGAGAACTCAAAATACTAAATTATAGCCAATTCGTTTGAAAGACAAATCTAATTTCTCCGAATAGTGAGGGTACGTGTTTGTATGTGTGTTTTAGGGAGCTATGCCAAAACGTGGACCGACATTGATAAGTTTCGATGGGAAAACTTGTCATCCAAAGAGAACCCGGTTCTCATTGAATGGCAAGTATTCCCAACGAAAATGATCAATTTTGGTATAGCTCCGATATAACAAAACTATCATCAAGTAAGGATTATACCAAAACGTTAACCGATACAGCACATTTTCAATACCAAACATACAAGGCGTGGTAGCAAATATGGTGCAAATTTTCAAAGCTCTATCATAAACATTCTGAGCTACAGTCGAACTTCTATAAATCGACTTAACATTGCCCGTCTCCGGTGAATATTTTGAGTTGTTGCAAACGGAATCACCTTATGGTGAAGGGTATAAAAAGTGCCTTCCATCTGAAGAAGCCTTCTTCCACCTTCCCCTTCTATCATGCTATGAGGAAAAAAGTCTTATATCACTTCTACGAGAAGAAGATGTTTTCTCTTTTATCAGAAGAGGACCTATCTTCACTTATATCGCACTTCTATATGATGCAGACCTTTCCAATGAGAATACAAAGACTTTCTTTTATGAGAAGAAAAAAAAATATTCTATGAAAAGATCTTCTAGATGAAGAGGAATATTTTATTCTATAAAAAGTAAGATATATTACTTTGATAAGACGACCTAATTCTATGAGAAAAAAATAACATATCTTCTTGATCCTGCTTGAAAAGAGGTATATCTTCATCTATGACAAGACTACCTTCCATAAAAAGAGGACGATTTAATCATTCTAGTTCTTATGATTAAGGATTTAAAAATACCTGCCATCTGAAGGCTTCTTCCTTTCTTCTTCTTCTGCCTTCTATCAGAAAAATATATAATTCTCCTTATTCAGAAGTAGACATACATTCTCGATATCGCACTTCTATGTGATGAATACCTTTTCTATGAGAATACGAGACTTTTTTATACAAAAATAAGAAAAAATAATCTATGAGAATATCTTCCATTGAAAGAAGAGAAAAGCAGTATCTCTATTCTTCTACTAAGAGGAGGTATATTCTATGAAAAAAGAAGACATTCTTCTATGAAAAGAGGACGGTTTTTTTATAAAAATAGATTCTATCTGAATGAGACTACTTCCTTTCATCTTCCTTCTATCAGAAAAATATGCCACTCATCACTTCTTCGAGAAGATATCTTCCCTTTTATCAGAAGAAGGCCTATCACTTCTAAAAGGCCTTGTAATATGAGATGAAAAAGTGTTCTATGATAAATCTTCTATAAGGGGTAGAGGGCTGTATTGCATAAAAAAGCAGAAGATCTCCTTCTATGAAAAGAAGAAGACATACAAAAAGGCTCTTCTTTATATAGAAAAACATCTTATTTAAAGAAATATTATCTTTTCTATTTTTGAATTATAGACGCCTTCATGATGACTAGTATGATGTGTTTTAGGATGATCACAATGGACGCTATATCATCGAGTGAAGCGACTACTACCCCGGCAGCCTGACATTCTCTAACCTAACCCTTCATTAGTGTTAAGACAGGGTTTTTATTAAAGTTTAAGGGTATTATTCAGTCCACTTGAAGAGGGTCAAATAGAGCCTTTTTGGTCAGCATTACAAGGGCCTCTAAAGTTCCCTTTATGATAACTAATTGGTCAATTGTTAGTAAGTATTGGAGACTCATTTTAATCGCCTTTATGGTAAGTATTCGAAAACGATTTCTAATCGTCTTAAATAGGATTAATCTGTCGCCTTTCAGACGAACATTTCTCCACCTAATTAGATAGCTTTAATCTTCCCTAAGGGAAACCTTTTGATAGCCTCAAATTGTCCTTTTAGATTTTTTGATGTGCCTTTTCGATCTATTTTTCCCAGCATACTTAAAGATGACCACTCAGTCCCCTTTTTGTTACAACGTTTTTTACGATGATCACAATGCACCACAGATCTCCGAGTGTAATGATTGCTACGCGGCCGTCTCTAACCTTACCTAAGCTAAGCTTTAATTTGGCTTTAGGGGAATCAATAACAAAAATTAATTCAACTGAGCACGGCTGGGGTTCGAATTTAGGTCCTCAGAGCAACACAAATGTTGTCAGACCACTTATCGTTCTGAGCCAATCAACACACTTCCTAAAATGTTGCGCAAAACCATGTGTATACTATGGAAGCAATTGTAGGTGTTGTGGATAAATTATCCATCGCTACAACAAAAATCTGCTTTGAAAAGGACTGTTTCTAAAATGAAGACAAATGTCTAACCTTGACAAGTTTGAATTTAATTCGGATATGCAAGTTCGCATCAGGGCGAAATAAATACAAGTTATCAACATACGACCTTCGTAAAGCAACATAGCCCAATTTGCCTGATTAACCAACGGCGAAACACGTCGCATAATGGTGGGACGTAGGTTCTTCTCCTAGCTTTCCTTTTAATTGCACAACTTAGATCATTAAGCTCGACTCGAAGGAGTATAAATAACTCACTTTGAGAGGCATTTGAAATTCCCTCTTGATCAGTATTAGAAAACGGTTTTTAATCCGCCTTTAAAAATTAGCCAGTTTCCTCTAAGGGAGACAATCCGTTCCCTAAAGAGAATCATTTTTATAACCTCAAATGGACTTCCTGGACTCCTTTAATGCATTTTTAATCCACATTTTTTGCCTTCTTTACAAAGACAATTTTTCAGAATCACCTCTTGCCTTAACGTCTCCAAAAAAAAAAAAAAAACTTACCTTTGCCACACTCAATGCAGACATGTTTCTTTTCACCCGAATGTATAACAATATGAAGGGTTAATTGCTCCTTGCGCTTAAAGGACTTCATACAAATCTGCAAACAAACAAAACAAATATACAAACATTTAGTATCCAACTAACCACATCCATTCCACTTGTACTTACATTGCACACATGTGGCCGATCCGGTATATGCGATAGCTTGTGACGAGTCAAATGATCCTTGCGCTTCAACGCTGCATTACAAATATCACAAACAAAACGCCGTTCAACGGCATGTGATATAACGTGTTGTTCGATCAGGCTACGATCCGGATAGGCCATTTGACATTCGGGACAACAGTAGAGCGTCGAACCGTCCAATGCTTTGGTTTCACGAATCTCACCGGGTTTTGGTCGGGGTTTCTTCTCCTTGGGTGGCTTCTTCTTCTTGCCCTTTTTGGCTTTTGTTGTGGTCGTGGTGGCCGGTGTTGTGGTTGTGGTACCATCAGCATTTGTTGTAGTTGTACCATTCGTACCAGCCGGTGCAGTACTTGTTACCACAGTGGTGCCATTGGTGGCAACACCATTTGCTGTGCCATTTACCACCCCGTTGGTGGCCATCGAACCATTATTAACCATTTGTCCATTTTGAACATCATTTAAATTGGGTATGTGACCACCTCCTCCACCGGCGCCTCCACCACCACCATGATCCATATTTACCAGAGAGGTGGTACCATTGCCATTGTGGGCATGATGATTACCATTAACCGCGTTAGCGTTGCTAGGCGTCAATGCCACTCCGCCCAATGCCAAGCTGGCCAAATTTGTGCCATTCTTGAGAACATCATTTTTGATATTGAATCCGGACGATGCATCCAAATTGCCCAAATTTAAATTCCCTGAGTTGATTTGTGAGCCCACAATACCTGAGGATTCCTTTTTTATTGTTTCGGAATATTTGAGGAAGTGCTGTATTGAAATTGGCAGTGTAGCGGATAGCAAATGTGATGAATAATCGACGGTGTTGGCCGTATTGGCCAATGTTTGCCACGACTGATTGACATTTTGTAAGATTTGTTGATTTAGAACTGGAAAGAGAGAAAACAAAAAGAGAAGAACAGTTAAGAAGAGAATTTATAAATAAAATAAATTGAAATGTTCGTATTAAATATTGAATTCAGCTATGAATTTTACGATCGAATAGCCAATTTGTAGTATAATATTATATTCGGGCTGAATAGCAATTCAGCTATTGAAATTTGAAAATTTCGTCCTAACCTCCCATTTCATCTACTTTTTATTTAAAAATTTTAAGGAAAACGCCAATTCAGCTACCAAGACTTTTAATTTTCTTGCTGTATATGCAATTCAGCTAGGCGAAAATGATAATTTCTTACGTAATCCCCAATTCAGCTACAATGTCTTTGCATTATCTTGCTGAATATATAATTCAGTCACGTTAAATTGAAAATGTGTCTAAAATATATAATTCAACCATTTTAAATCGATATTTTCCATAGAAATTCCCAATTCAGCTAAACTAAATTTGAATATTCTTGCTGAATATGCAATTCAGCAAAGTAAAATTGCAAATGCCGTCTTAAATATTTAATTCAGCTACGCTAAATTGATAATTTCCTGTCGAATCCCCAATTCAGCTACAATAAATTTTAATATACTTGCTGGACATGCAATTCAGCTAAGTTAAATTTTAAATTATTATCTTAAAAAATTAATTCAGCTGATATATTTGTATCACTTTCTGAAGAATCGTCAATTCAGCTACAACGAATTTTAATTTTCTTGCTAAATGTGCAATTCAGCAAAGAAAAATTTATAATAATATATTATTATTATTAATATTTGAAATTTTCTTATTAAAATTCAATTCAGCTGGCTGAATTTGTAATTTCCGTCCAGAATATTGAATTCAGCTAGCTAAATTTGTAATTTTCATGCAGAATATTCAATTCAGCAAGCTGAACTGGTAGTTTTATTTTAGAATATCCAATTCAGCTGCCTAAAATTATATTTAAAAATTCAAGGATCCAATTCAGCTATTTGGATACGTGATTTTTTGTTCAAAGACTTTATTCGTCTGGAGATTTTCGAATTCAGCAAGCTAAATATCTTGTTTTCCTTCAAACAATTAAATTGGCAATTTTCTAGTAATTGCTCCTATTCAGCTAGGTGAATTTTAAATTTTGCTACATACAATTCAATTCAGCTGGCTGAATATGCTCCTTTCGGTTCAAGGTCCTAATTCAGCTTAGTGAATATGCTGTTTTTGGCACAATAACCTAATTCAGCTAGCTGAATATATTCAATGTATTGCCCTTCTTCTCAGAATTACCCTATTCAGCCAGTTAAATTGGTAGTTTTCATGTAGAAGATCCTATTCAATCGGCTAAATTTCATATTCTGTTACATACAACTAAATTTAGCCGGTTGAATATGTTCCTTTCGGCTCGAGAAACTAATTCAGCTAGCTGAATATGTTTTTTTTTTGCACAAGCCTTCATTCAGCTGGATATTTTTGAAAAAATGTTCAATCTATTGCCTTTCTTCTCAGGATCTCTTCAAATTACAATATTCAGCCAGTTAAATTTGTAGTTTTCTTGTAGAAGTTCCTATTCAGCTAGCTGAATTTCATATTTTATCACATTGGACTCAATTCAGCCGGCTGAATATGCTCTTTTCGGATCAAAGATCTAATTCAGATAGCTGAATTTATAATTTCATAGCAGAATACTCAATTCAGCTAGCTGATTTGCTAGTTTTCTAGACAAGGACCCAATTCAGCAAGCGGAATTTCATATTTTCTTACATAGAAATTAATTCATCTAGTGGAATTGCTAATTTTCTTGACTTCAGACTAATCCAGAAAATACATTTCCAAAAAATATTTAATTAAAACTCAATTCAGCTAGCTGAATTTTAAATATTTCAGTAATAAACCTAATTCAGCTAGCTGAATTGCTAGTTTTCTACACAATGACCCAATTCAGCTAGCTGAATTTCATATTTTGTTACATAGAACTTAATTCAGCTGGCTGAATATGCTGTTTTTTTGCACGAAGACCCAATTCAGCCAGCTGAATATGCTCTTTTTGGCCTAATTTTCTTGACTAGAACCCAATTCAGCAATACATTTTTTGAAAAATATTTAATTAAAATTCAATTCAGCTAGCTGAATTTTTATATTTCAACAATAAAACTAATTCAGCAAGTTTTAAATGCAATTCAGCTGAAAGGAATACAAATAAATAAGAAATTTGTGGAAATATTTCCCTAGAAAATTGTCAAGAAGACACTTCCTTGACATTTGATAATATGAACCACGTGACATAAAAAGAGAACCAATTAAAGATTCCCTCAAAAGACAAAACAAATTGGGTCATGGCTTTCTTTGATGTTCCTAGAAATGCTGACAAAGAAGAAGCAGAAGAAGGCAGTAACCACAAAATTCCATGGCCAATTTTAAATATATCTTTGCTAAATTAGGAAGAGGAATTTTTAAATATTAATATTTCACGAAGTTCTTGTTGTTGTTGTAGGCTTTAATTGGAAAAGTCAGTAAGTCAGCCATTCATTCGCATAGCAACAATTCAGGCCACATCATAACTGAGAAAAAAAGATGTTCCCCGAAAAAAAAATATTACATAAAGTAGAAATAACAACAGCAACAACAAGGATAATGTGGAGCACAAGAACTTGAATATTCAATTCTAAGAAAACCTACCCCACTATTCAAAAAAAAAAGGAAGAGAAAGGAAAAAGTGGAAGAAGAAGCAATGAAAGAAAAACCTATGGCAACAAAATCAGCTGAACAAATTTAGATGGAAAAATAGGCCTAAGAAAACAGTCATACCCCACCCATCCCACCACCTCCTCCTTTCCCCAAACGCCACAAAGGACCCAACAACAAAGAGAAAGTAATTTACTTCCTATAAATCCCAGGCTATAACACAATTTTTTTAAGGACATCATCACATTGTTGTTGCTGCTGCTGTTGTCGTTCTTGTTACATTTCTTTTTAGCACATTACACGCACACACTCATACGTACACATACATAAATATATACATTAACTATTTACCATGATGATGATTATAACATAGGCTCACAGCGAGTATATATTTACTAGCTCAAGGCCATTTACTTTATATACAACAAGCGAACCGAAAAACAGAAACAGGACGACAATTATATGTAAATGTGATATATATACATACACACACACATACATATACATATCTTTATTTCGACAATTTTTTTTTTTTTTTTTTTTGTGAATAATAATGTCTGTCATGTCTGTCGGCAATTTTGGACAAGAAATTTAGATATGGGACAATTTCTAGAACAGAAGCAGCATAGGACCATCTTTTTTGGGGTTTTTTGTAATGGGAATAGGAAAAAAAGAGAAAAAACAAGAGACGAAAAAGAGGGAGACAACAGGGAAAGTAGGATTAACTGGATTAAATGTCAATAAGTAGTTGTTCGGAACCAATTATGTAAATTCGCAAAGGACCTTGGACAATAATTTATTCAACAGAATAGATGACAAAAAATTAAATAATACCAAGAACAACAAAAAACATTTCAAGTTCCGACAATTTTTAAAGGAGTCCTACAGAAAAAAATGTTGATGCCGATATCCGACATTTTGTTAACATAGCTAACAATTTTAACAGATTTCCGACAAATTTTTCTAAAAAAAATAAATAAGCAGACGTCCAACATTTTGTTTTATGTAAAAAAAGAAATCAAAAAATCTTAGACCCAATATTCCAACGATTTTTTATACAAAAAAAAAGAGGTTCAATGAACATATTTTAAATATAAAAAATTGATCCAAGAAGGAACTTGGGCTTGGGTCCTATGAATTTGTTTCGATATGAAAAAATCTAGATCCTAAAGAAAAAACCTAACTCAGATGTTCCGACATGGTGAGAATTCTGAGATCGTGTGATTTACGATGTATTTTTTATGAAAAAACGAGACCAAACGTCGGTAGAAAATGCAAAAACGGCACTTGAATCGAGTTGGGAAAACTTTTTTCCAAAGGAAAATGAAAAAATCGGAAAAATTGTCCTAAAGATTTTTTCTAACGAAATAAACGTATACCAGAGGTTCCGACAATTTTTTGATTGGTCAGAGTACTAAGGGCCAGTGATTTGTTAGATCTGATTTTTTTTATTGGCATTCGATGAATTTTTTCTATTGATAAAAACGATCATAGGTTCCATAGAAAAAGATGCCGAAGTTTTGTTTTACCATAGATAGAGAAACCCTCTGCGGTTCAGTGTTTTTTTCTTTAGAAAAATAAACCGATTGAGGGATAGGTTTTTTTAGAAATTTTTGTCTCCGGAAAAATATGCCGATATTCTATAGAACAAGAAGCCCAAAGTGTCCGTAATTAAAAAAAAAATGACGAACAGAGGTTCTGCTAACGTTTTCTATAGAAGAGGACAACCTGAGACTGGTGGATTTTTGTTTTCCGGAAAAATAAGCTGATTGAGGTTCGGTGATTTTTTTTCTATAGAAAAAAATCCGACCTGCTGGTCTGAGAATTTTTTTCTATAGAAAAAAATCCGACCTTACGGTCTGAGAATTTTTTTATAGAAACAAAAATCCAGTCTGAGGGTCAGAGAATTTTTTTATATAGGAAAAATGCGACCTGTGGGTCTGAGAATTTTTTTCTATAGAAAAAAAATTTGACCTGAGGGTCTGTGATTCTTTGTAATAGAATCCGAACTTAGGGTCAAAGAATTTGTTTCTATAGAAAAAATCCCATCTGAGGTCTGAGAATTTTTTCTATAGAAAAAAATCCGACTCTAGGGACTCAGAATTTTTTTCTATATAAAAAAATCCGAACTGATGGTCTGAGAATTTTTTTTTGTTTATGGAAAAGAAACCGAACTGAGTTTCTAAAATTTTTTCCATAGCAAAAAATAACCGACCTGAGGATCTATGAATTTTTCAATAGAAAAAATTGCCGATGTGGGGTTTTGAGAAATTTTTATATAAGAAATAGAAGCCAACTCGAGGGTCTGACAATTTTTTCTTCAGACTAGACTAAGAAGCTGAACATAGGGCTTGCAATATTTTCTAAAAGTAAAAAAAACGATTTTTTTCCTAAAGAAGAAATTAACTGGAGGTTTGAGAAAAAAACCCTCCTGAGGCTCTGTGATTTTTTTTTAAAGAAAAAATCTGTAATTTTTTCTAAGGAATAAAAAGCCGGCCATAGGGTCTGCATTTTTTTCTAAAAGTAAAAGAAACCGATTTAATAAAGGTCTGAGTATTAAAAAACCGTCTGAGGTTCTGTAATTTGTTTTTCTATAAAAAAATCTTCATAACATTTTCCGTGCTGAGGTTCTGTGAATTTTTTTCTAAAGAAAAAAATCTAACCTGCATGTCTGAGAATTTTTTCTGAAGTTCTGTGATTTTTTTCTATGGAATCAGAAGCCGCCCACAGGGTCTGCATTTTTTCTAAAAGTAAAAGAAGCCAATGCCCGTCGAAGCCTGTACTGAGGCTCTAATTTTTTTTCTCTATAGAAAAATTCTTGTTTTTTAAATATTTCTATTTTTAAAATAATTTTGTTTCCGAGAGGATTATAAATTTTCCGAACTTCATAAAATTTTCCATCCTGAGGTTCTGTGAATTTTTTTCTAAGGAAAAAATCTTACCTGTATATCTGAATTATTTTTTTTTTTCATGGAATAAGAAGCCGACCCTAGGGTCTGCATTATTTTAAAGTATTTTTGTTTCCGAGAGAAATGACAGGAATTTCTAAAACTGTGTGGCATTTTTTCCAAATAATCAATCAAATATCCGGTTAACCAATATTGTTGTTGTTTGTTTTGTCATCGTTGTCAAGTTCACCAACATCGTTAATAAAGAGGGTATGGTAGGGGTAGAATAAGAGTACGAGAGAGAGATGAATTCAGCTGTAGCCTAGAGAGCCTACACACAAAAAATTTCTCACACACACACCCGCACACTCACATGGAAATCCATCCATTCAGGCAGGCAGGCAGTCAGTCAGTCAGTTGGGCAAAAAGTAACAAAAATTTAGAACCATTTTTTATTGGTTATGTATTTTTGTGTATGGTGGCCTTGAAAACTCTTTGGTATATAACCAAATATTCAAGTGTATATATATATATATATATATATGTGTGTGTATATAGGTATATATGTACAAGTATAATGAAATGATTACAGTAATTATTAAAGAAATAATTACAATTTCATTTTCAAAGAGAACGAAAGAGTGTGTCGACTCTTTATGAAATAGGGAGCCAGATAGGGTCTGCTGGCAAAACTAATTTTTAAGGGAGATAGGTTCGGTTCGGACTTACTAAGTGTCAAATGCCATTAACTCGTAATAATAATAATAATAATTTTTAAAAATATATATTAAGTAATAATTACAAAATAATTAAGGCAGGGTGTGGGGTGGTGGGTTGGTGCGACTTACCTTCTTCACGATCCCTTTCAATTTTTGGATGTATTTTCCCCTTGTGATCGACTGAGGCAGCTGCATTTAAAAAATTCAAATCGGTTTGTGGCTGCGAATAGGGTATGGAAATATTTTGGCCATACTGCATGGTATTATTGGCTGCGGAAACTGTAATAAAAAATTTTAAAAAAGGAAAAGAAATTATTAAAAAAAAATCTTAAAGAAAATTTTAAAAAAATCTCAAAAAATTATTCAAAAAAAAATATTTACACATTTTTTTAATTTTTGGGTTGCGGGTTAGCTACTTTGCAGGTTAGTAAAAATTTATCACAACACTATTAATTTTTTGGTTTGGTTTAGACTAAAACTAGGCACACCATCAATCCTACAACCAGAACTTCAATAGATGATGTGATGGATGGTGCGTGGCTGACTGCTGACAACTACTGCCTATCTAAAAACACACACACAGACAGAAAAAGAAAACTTTATCGGCTGGCCTTCTTCTTCTTCGTCCAAAACTTTTCTTGCTTGCCGTCTATAAGTTACGCACTCTTGCTATACCATTTACTAACTGAAAAGCGGCTTATTGTTTGAGGTTCATGTTACCCAGCAGTGGCAGCAGCTGACGCCGATTCCATTTTTTTTTTCGGTTTTTGGTTGCCTACCAAAGAACTGGCTGTCTGTCGTTAACTTCCTTCGCCCCTCCAGTACCATTCCGACATTTCCTTAGACATATTTCAAGAGTCATGCGGCGGCGGAGGCACACACACACAAATATTGGCCGAATCCTTGAAACGAAGTTACGAACAGTAAATAGGTGGTGGTACTGGTTAGAGGATTAACAAAGATGGGAGAGGAGGAGGCAGGCGGGTAGGCAGCAGGAGGAGGTTAGACTAATGGAAAACCAGATCACACGAACACACAAACATGTCCCTAAATGTGGCACCTACCAAAACAGCAGCAGCCGGAAAACACATTCAACGCACACACACAATGCCAACATCAAATTTACCACCCTCTACCTCCAACAATTTTACTTTGTAAACATCATGGTTAACACTTTGAGGGCCCAAAAAATAATGTAGGTCAGGAACAGAAAGCATAGAAACCTTAATTCAGCTGGGCTGAATTGAAGATTTCCTAACGAAACCTTAATTCAGCTGGGCTGAATTGAAGATTTCCTATAGAAACCATAATTCAGCTGGGCTGAATTGAAGATTTCCTATAGAAACCTTAATTCAGCTGGGCTGAATTGAAGATTTCCTATAGAAACCTTAATTCAGCTGGGCTGAATTGAAGATTTCCTATAGAAACCTTAATTCAGCTGGGCTGAATTGAAGATTTCCTATAGAAACCTTAATTCAGCTGGGCTGAATTGAAGATTTCCTATAGAAACCTTAATTCAGCTGGGCTGAATTGAAGATTTCCTATAGAAACCTTAATTCAGCTGGGCTGAATTGAAGATTTCCTATAGAAACCTTAATTCAGCTGGGCTGAATTGAAGATTTCCTATAGAAACCTTAATTCAGCTGGGCTAAATTGATGATTTCCCATGGAAACCTTAATTCAGCTGGGCTGAATTGAAGATTTCCTATAGAAACCTTAATTCAGCTGGGCTGAATTGAAGATTTCCTGTTGATATCTTAATTCAGCTGGGCCAAATTGAAGATTTCCTATAGAAACCTTAATTCAGCTAGGCTGAATTGAAGATTTCCTATAGAAACCTTAATTCAGCTGGGCTAAATTGAAGATTTCCTATCGGAAACCTTACTTCAGCTGGGCTAAACTGAAGATTTCCTATAGAAACCTTAATTCAGCTGGGCTGAATTGAAGATTTCCTATAAAAACCTTACTTCAGCTGGGCTGAATTGAAAATTTCCTATAGAAACCTTAATTCAGCTGGACTGAATTGAAGATTTCCTATAGAAACCTTAATTCAGTTGGGCTGAATTGAAGATTTCCTATCGGAAACCTTAATTCAGTTGGGCTGAATTGAAGATTTCCTATCGGAAACCTTAATTCAGCTGGGCTGAATTGAAGATTTCCTATCGGAAACCTTAATTCAGCTGGGCTGAATTGAAGATTTCCTATAGAAACCTTAATTCAGCGGGGCTGAATTAAAGATTTCCTATAGAAACCTTAATTCAGCTGGGCTGAATTGAAGATTTTCTATAGAAACCTTAATTCAGCTGGGCTGAATTGAAGATTTCCTATGGAAAACTTAATTCAGCTGGGCTGAATTATTTATTATTTCCTATAGAAATCTGGGACTGAATTGAAGATTTCCGTTGGAAATCTTAATTTTGCGATGCTAAATTGAAGATTTCCTATAGAAACCTTAATGCAGCTAGGCTGAATTGAAGATTTCTTAAAATCTTCATGGCCCCAAAAGTGTTCCGAATTGCTTATTTAGGTTAATGTAAAAAAATATTCTTTGTCTTTTTGGTTGGTAACAACAAGAACAAACATGAACCTTTTTTCTGGTAATATTCTTGGATGTTGATGTATGTAGAGTGTACAACAACAACACATCGTATATATAAAGCCTGTTGTTGCTGTGCTCATTTCGGTTACTACCATACCGGCTGACTGGTTGTCTGAATGACTGACTGTCTACATGGCTGACTGATTACCCATCAGCAGTGTCCCTCCTCAAACACACCCCCATCAAATTCCCATATTAATCTTAACTTCCAAGGCCATTCGGCAACAAACATGTATATACATACACACATACCCACATCGTTTTTATATACCAAAATACACAACAATTCCATTACGGGGTATGTATGTACGAGTGTGTGTGTGATGTCTGAATTTTATGGGATAGGCTCCACAAAAAAAAAACTGAAATGTGTTGCCTCATCAGTTAGGCAAGAAAATAAAAAAAAATTGTTTTAGGATCTGCTAACCACCAACAACAACAAGAGGAAAGTACACACAAAAACAACAACCACAATAGGTTATGGGAACACACACTTAGCCTTGACGATGGAGATGTTGTTGCTATCCTGGTGACGATGACGAATGAATGAAAACAATTCAAAGAATTGGGAAACACAAATCCAGGCTGAATTGAAGATTTCCTATAGAAACCTAATTCAGCCAGGCTGAATTGAAGAAACCTTATATCAATTACCATTTAGCAGTGGGTATAACAGTTTGTGTATAACAGTTTAAGACACATACAAAATTTGAATTCTTATATGTGTTTGTATGCAGGGAAGCGGTTGTTGTTGGCGGTTTTTATTTTTGGTTAGATTATTGACATTGATTTCAATGAACGCTACACAATTGAGGAATTTCTTGGCAACGGAGAGGAGGTGGTGTGGGGTGTGATGGATTTTGTGGAAATTTATACGGAAGACTTAGAAGTTTGAATTTAAAAAAAAGAGCAAGGGTACCATGGAGCGTATGAATAATATTTCACGAAGTGGGGAGGTGAATATGTGGATCATACGCCACCTATCCAAAAATAAAAGATCACACAGATTCGCAGAATTGAAGTTTTTCTATTGGAAACCTAATTCAGCTGGGTTAAAAAGAAATTTTCATAGGTTTTCTTCAATTCAGCACAGCTTAATTAAGGTATCCATTGAAAATTTTCAATTCAGCCCAGCTGAATTAAGGTGTCCATAGGAAATCTTCAATTCAGCCCAGCTGAATTAAGGTTTCCATAGGAAATCTTCAATTCAGCCCAGCTGAATTAAGGTTTCCATAGGAAATCTTCAATTCAGCCCAGCTGAATTAAGTTCCATAGGTCTTTCGTGAATTAGGAAAAATCAATTCAGCCCAGCTGAATTAAGGTTTCCATAGGAAATCTTCAATTCAGCCCAGCTGAATTAAGGTTTCCATAGGAAATCTTCAATTCAGCACAGCTGAATTAAGATTTCTATAGGAAATCTTCAATTCAGCACAGCTGAATTAAGATGTCTATTGGAAATCTTCAATTCAGCATAGCTGAATTAAGATTTCTTTAGGAAATCTTCAATTCAGCCCATCTGAATAAAGATTTCTATAGGAAATCTTCAATTCAGCCCAGCTGAATAAAGATTTCTATAGGAAATCTTCAATTCAGCACAGCTGAATTAAGATTTCTATAAGAAAACTTCAATTCAGCACTGCTGAATTAAAATTTCTATGGGAAATCTTCAATTCATCACAGCTTAATTAAGATTTCTATAGGAAATCTTCAATTCAGCCCAGCTGAATTAAGGTTTCCATAGGAAATCTTCAATTCAGCCCAGCTGAATTAAGGTTTATATAGGAAATCTTCAATTCAGCCCAGCTGAATTAAGGTTTCCATAGGAAATCTTCAATTCAACCGAGCTGAATTAAGGTTTCCATAGGAAATCTTCAATTCAGCCCAGCTGAATTAAGGTTTCCATAGGAAATCTTCAATTCAGCCCAGCTGAATTAAGGTTTCCATAGGAAATCTTCAATTCAGCCCAGCTGAATTAAGGTTTCCATAGGAAATCTTCAATTCAGCCCAGCTGAATTAAGGTTTCCATAGGAAATCTTCAATTCAGCTTGGCTGAATTAAGGTTTCTAATGGTATCCATAGGAAATCTTCAATTCAGCTTGGCTGAATTAAGGTTTCTAATGGTATCCATAGGAAATCTTCAATTCAGCTTGGCTGAATTAAGGTTTCCATAGGAAATCTTCAACTCAGCTTGGCCGAATTAAGGTTTCTATAGGAAATCTTCAATTCGGCTTGGCTGAATTAAGGTTTCCATAGGAAATCTTCAATTCAGCTTGACTGAATTAAGGTTTCCATAGGAAATCTTAAATTCAGCTTGGCTGAATTAAGGTTTCCATAGGGAATCTTCAATTCAGCCCAGCAGATTTAAGGTTTCCATAGGAAATCTTCTATTCAGCCTAGTTGATTTGAAGATTTCCTATGGTAACCTTTAGAAATTTCAATTCTGCCACGAAGTTTCCATTTATTTTCAAAGAGATTTGTGATACTAATTAATTCCCTCAAAGAGAATGTGGCCATCATCTGTTTCGTATTAAAAAGAGAGTGTGTGTGAGAGAGAGCGCCTAAGGTACAACTCTTAACAGTGCCTTCCATTTGAAATAGTGTAGTAATAACATTTCAATTTCACTTTCATATGAGAAAATTGTGGAGAAACGTAGCAAAACAAAAACTGGCCAAAACATTC